GGTGGTGGTCCGAGGAGACGTCTTCGGAAGCGAGCGAGAGGCTGGGTTGGAGACGATCGGGCGGGCGCGGACGCGGCTGCGGAGAACGCGGACGCTGGAGAGCGGCACGGCGAGAAGAGTCCGGGCGCGGGCGGAGGAGGAGTTGAGGGAGAAACGAGAGCGACACGTGATGGTGGTGGGGGTGGAAGATGCGCCGGAGGCGACGGGGGACGCGCGGGCGCGGCGAGAGGCGGAGGCGAGAGCGCGCGTGGTGGCGGCGGCGTGCGCGGAGAGCGGCGCGGGAGAGAGCGCGAAACTCCGGGGGGCGATCATGGCGTTGTTGCACGAGCGCCCGTTGGCGGTGAACGCGGTGCGGGATAGCGTCGCGCGCGGGTACGCGCTGTTGGGTCGCGAGACGCCGAGTCAGCAACTCGTGAGCTCGTGCGTGAAGCAGGTGGCCAAGCTGTGCCCGCCGGGGCGGTACGAGTTGTTGGGGCACTCGAGGAAGCGCGCGCAGGAGCGTCACGAGACGCTCACGGCGGCGGCGCGAGATTTGAAGATTTCCACGCGCGAGAGCGAGGGGATGACGACGACGACGATGAAAGTTGCGGAGCCTTCAAAGAGCTCCGCTCGGGCGGAGCGCGCTCCAGACGTCTCCGTGCCGACGCCGCCTCTGCAAGAGCCCCCGCGCGTCCTTCGCGGCGATATCACCGTGGATTTGGGTGACCAGTCGCCAAGTTTAGATTTAGAGCCGAACGCGCACGTCGTGCCGCGCTCGACGCCGGGGCACACGGAGATTGAGATCTCCGAGCGCGTCGCCGGGGACGACGACGACGCGTGGCGTCACCCAGGTCCGCCCCTGGACGTCGACGTTATCGAGTCTCCGTACGAACTCGAGGCCGTGAAGGCGACCTTCGACGTCAAGTACGCCCTCTACCGCGATCTTCACTCGCGGCTCACCGCCAACGCCGAGGAGTACGAGCGCGTGCGTCGAAGCAAGGATCCGCACCGCGCGCTCGAGCGTTTCGCCGCGCTCCGTCGCGCGCGGTACGCCGCCATGCGCGTCGTCTTCGACGCCCTCCACGACGAGCTCGCCCGCGTCCGTCGCGTCATCGACGCCCACGACGGACCCTAGCCCACGTCTCGCGCTCTGTACACGTGTAAATCATCGCCGCGAGCCGTCGTCCGGCGCCTCCATCCATCTCTCCATCGAAACGAAACGTTACCGTCGACGTCACTCACGCGCGCATCCCATCATGCCCGTCCCCGTCGCCGAGACCGGGTACGCCCGCTCGACGACCGAACACGCGCGCGTGGACGCGAACACCGACGCCGGCGCCTCCGTGGACTGGTGGGCGCGCATGGCGAGCGCCAAGGCGGCGTCGGACGCCGACCCGAACGCCCCGAAACCGTGGTTGCGACGACCCGGTAGAGATGCGGTGGAGAACGCGTCGCGCGCGCCGACGCGACGAGACATCGCGGTCCCGGCCGGGGTCCTGGGCATCGAAGTGCGCGGGCTGACGTTTTCGTACCCCGGAATCGATGGGACGCCGATGGAGGGGACGACGCCGATGATTCGGAACTTGAAGATGGCGCTCGAGCCGGGGACGTGCACGCTGTTGTTGGGAGCGAACGGCGCTGGGAAGACGACGTTATTGAAGATTTTGGCGGGTAAACACTTGGTGGAGCGGGAAAAGGTGCTGGTTCTCGGACGGGAGGCGTTTTACGATACCGGATTGACGTCGAGCGGGGATTTGAGTTTCATCGGCGGCAACTGGCAGAGAGACGTGGCCTTCGCGGGGTATAACATTCCGTTGGCGGGTGATTTTCCGGCGAGTCGTATGTTGGATTCGATCCCCGGGGTTGATCCTGAGCGTAAGAAGCGCATCATCGAGGTCCTGGACGTGAATGTGAACTGGAGGATGCATCAGGTGAGCGACGGGCAGCGACGCCGCGTGCAGCTCGCGTGGGGTCTGATGTTGCCGTACAAGGTGCTCTTGCTCGACGAAATCACCGTGGATCTCGACGTTCTCGGTCGCGCCGAGCTCATGGGGTTTTTGCGCGAAGAGTGCCTCTCGAGACAGGTGACCATCGTGTACGCAACGCACATCTTCGACGGACTCGAGTCTTTCATGACGCACGTGGCGTTCGTCGCAAACGGCGAGTTGAAGTTTTGCAAAAAGTTTGAAGACATCGAGGGCTTGAAGGAACGCGAGCCCGGTTCTTTGCTCCTTACTGTCGAGGGTTGGCTCCGCGAGGAGTACGTGCTCCAGCGCGAACGCAAGTTGTTGGAGAAGGCTGAGAAGAAGGAATTCCAATTCAGCCGCAACAACGGATACGCGTCGGGAAGAACCACCACGACGGTGACATACGGTGAAAGACTTGGTGAGAAAGGGTGGCTAGACCAGTCGAGAGATCGCGAATCGGCGTTCCAGAACTCAAGTAACGCAGTGATGCGCTAAACTAACTTACTGAATTAACTATCGCTATCGCGTCTAGAAGAATGAATGTTTGTTGTCGAGTTGATTTTTTTCCTTATCGCGCCGTCTTCTCACGACCTCCACTCAGCTAACAACCGGTCCAAAAACGACGATTCGTTCTTCTCATCGTCGCCTTGAGAGTACACTACCGGATCGCTCGATGAAAATGGTGGATTCCTCGATGACTGAGGCGCCGCATCTGCGGTTTTGCCACCTGCTTCACTCCAAGTCTTGGCGTCGATCGTCTCCAAGCACCTAGCCGCGTGGCGTAATCGTCTCGAAAATATCGCTCGCCCAGATTCATCGCCGCGAGCGTAATCTGCGAGTGCTGCTTCGAGGGCGGGCGCAATAATTTCACCGTGAAACGCTCTGTTCCACTCACTTTCTCGTGTCTGTCGCCGGCCGGACACATTTTTGAAGTTGAACGGATTTTCGATGGCATCTTTTGGATTTCGTTCGGCTTTAGCTTTACGCATCTTCACGTATCCTTTCTTTGCCGCGGCGGCACCGCCTATTTGTCTGCGCCACTCGTCGAGAACGAGCGAGGGCGACGCAGCTGTATTGGATTGTAGGTACTCGGCGCATTCCAAAAGCTCGTTCACGTTCATCCTCCAACCGTCACTGAACACGGCGTGCAATCCGGCTCGATTCTTCATCACTTCTGTTCGTACGGCGGCATCAACCGACGGGGAAGACTCGTTGCACATTCCTCCCGGCACCGCAGCGTGCACGACAAAGTTGTAGAGGTGGGGCATCGAAACGAACGATTGAGGATTCACCGCGCTCGTTTCCATCACCGCCGCGGCGACCACGTCGCGAGCCTGCGTCTTCGGAATTTCCGCACGTGGGGTCTCGAATTGAATAGATCGTGACGCCGACGCTTCATTGTCGGCACCGATATCATACGACTGACTCCACTCGCCGTGTCGGTCCATCCACGTCAATTCGCCGAGCGTTGAGTTGATTTGCGTCATCGCGAATCCGCGCACGGAGTCCGCGCACGGCAGCGAGACGCACGTCCCGTACGACAAAGGGCATATTTGTTCACCGGAGTGTCCTCTCTTTTCACCCGCGTAGCGTCGACACTCGTACAGGTACACTTCGCTCTCGCTCGTAGAAAATGCGCAAACGCCGATTGCTCTCGACGGCTCACCGCGCCAAGCTCCGGAATCAAAGATACGAACCGTCGCTGGTGCGCTCAGGCCTAGGTGCTCCCATCGAGCGACTGGATCCCGCGCGCGTCGCAGATCACGAAGCTCGACGAATGAAGACTCAATACCGGATACCTCGTACATTCGTACGGACGTCGCGTACAAAAATTCACGCATTGCCGAAATCGTTCGAATGAATTCTCCACCATCCGCCTCGTGCGCCATTCGATTCTCGCCCCCCCGCGCGCGCGTATCGACTAAGTATACACGCGAGCGCACGCTGCTTCCCGGGACGTTCACCGCGTGCAGTAAAGCGCGAGGATGATTCGCGTACGCGACTCCATAATGCGACGCATCGTGCGCCGTTTCGCGCTCACGCGCCCACTCCGCAACGATCCTTCGCCTCCCCGAACCCGCACGAGCGCCCTCCGCCGCGCTCAACACCCCAACGTCGCCACACCGCAGCGCTACCGCGCACTCGCACTCCATCCTATCGCTCACGGCGACGCTCGAGCACGCGCTCCAGTCGTCTCCGCTCGCGTCTTCAACCGTCTCCAACCGCGTCTCCCCATCCAAAGTCACCCACCCCCTGATCAGCTTCGCCCCATCGTCGCATCGAACCCCGACCGTCACCGCCCTCCCGTCCCGCGCGCTCGTCTCGCACGCGACCTCGCGAACGACGCTTCTCGCGTCCGTCCGAGCCGTCGCCTCTTCGCCTCGGCGTCCGCGTCGCGTCGCTCGCACCATCGTCTCCGTCTCCGCGCACGTCGTCCACCGCGACGCCACCGCTCGATCGCTTCCGATCGCGGCGTCGAGCACGGACGCCCCGTCCGCGTCCGCGCCCATCCCGAGCGCGACGCGACCGCGACGCGACGCATCGCTCGAGCATGGAATCATTCCACCATCCCCTCGCGCGCCCGTTTTCCCGCGTCCCGACGCCCGCGCGGCGCCGTCCAGGGCGACGTCGTACGCCTCGACGTCCCCGACGCGTCCGTACGACGTCGCCCGTCGCGCGCGCATGGCGCACGCGTCCGAATGCCGCGCGTCCGAATGCCGCACTTCACGACGCTCGCGCGATGTCCGCCGCGGACTGGCGCGCCCGCGTCGCCTCGCACGACGACGCGGGCGCGCGCGCGGACGACGCGGTCGACCGCGCGGACGACCGCGCGGGCGGGGCGATGCGTCGGGCGTGGATGACGTGCGCGCGCGTCGTGGGCGCGTCGACGAATTCGACTCGACTCCCTCGCGTCGACGCGGCGAAGCTCGAGCGCTTCAGCGACCGCGCGCTCGAGCGATTGCGCGCGCGATGCGCGCGGGCGCTGGAGAGCGTCGAGCGCGGGATGGGCGACGCCGACGCGGCGGTGCGAGCGGCCGAAGTGCGAGAGGATGTGGAAGATGGACGAAACAGCCGCGGGATGATTTTCGACGAGAAAACGGTCGAGGCGCTCGCGAAGACGGTCGCGGTGGGGGATAAATCGAGACGAGAAGCTGTGAATGCGATGCGGGCGATCGATGCGGTGATCGAAAGACGACGACGGCGACGAGAGACGCGGTACACGAGACGCATCGAAGCGATACCGCGAGACGCCACGCGGTTGATCGACGAGTACGGCATGCGCAGGTTCATACATCGAGGGATCGACGTGGAGGGGTTGGACGATGCTGTGTTCGAACGTTTCTTCAATCGTTGCTTGGAGGGACTCGAGAACGAGGGTTTTGTGCAGGAGCGGTTGGTTCCGGTGGATCACCTGGTGCGGCTCGTGAAGAGCGGACTTTGGGGGATTTATTGGAAGGAGTACGCCGACGGCGCCATGATGGAAGCTCTGAAGCATGGGTGCAGTGGGATCTCCATTAGTCTGTACGCGATCGGGGACACCGATCCGCTCGGTGAGGACGCGTTCGAGGGGATTCCAAGCGCTTCGACGCTCCTCTCCGGACCGAGCGCGTATTTGTGGTGCCTGTTTCAGTTGATGATGCTTCCGGCTCTCGTGCTTCTGGGCGGATTCTTGTTGCCGTCGGTGCGTCGGACGTTACACATGGCTCGCTTCATGTTCTCATCGTCCTTGTGGCGCGCTAAACACGTGTCATCGAGTTTCGTCGCACTGGCTCTGTGCTATACGCCGTACTGGGGCCTGGGTATGGCATGCGTGATTTTGTTTCTCGCCACAGAGACGTACGAACCGGGTACCGTTCTGGACGTAATCGTACCGGCGACGTTATCTTTCACCATCACATCCTTCGTCGCGACGTGCCTGGCTTCGGTGGATGTGAATCAGTATAGCAAGATGTCCGCGGTAACGTTATTCTTCCCAGGCGGGAAAACGGAGCTCCCAGATGGTGACAGTAAGTTGGTCCAAGAACATCCTACGGTTGACACCCTTCGCGTGCGAGAAATTCCTATCGCGCTCCGCGTGCCGCATAGCACGATCGGAGCGAACGATTCTGTCGACGAATTACCCGAGAGGACGAATGGTTTGTTGAATGGTGAGAGCAAACGTAAGAACGGTAAGAGCGGCGACCAAGCGCCACGCTGGATGGTAGAAATGGGCGAATTTGCGAGCAACCTGCAGGCAAAGACAGAGGTGTTCAACACACGCACAAAGTCGTCCAAGACGCACTCAACGAAACACGGTGCACAGAACGCGCGCCGGGACGTGCACGCCAAAGATAGTATCGAAGATATCATCGCGAAGAACAAATTGCTGCAGTTGAAAAGCATCACAGAAGCAGATGTCGTAAACGCGCTGCTACAGCGGACGAATGAAGAGATTTTGCGAACTTATTGGTTTAGAGTTAAGAGCACATGGTTCCAACAAGCGAGTTTTCTGTTGATGGCGATCGTACTTTCGCTGCTTCCATTCCTACTTCGCAGGGTTTCGTACAACTTGTCAGCGTTCGGTCAGCCCAAACAGAGTGGATTTTGCATCCGTGATAGCGTGCATGGATTCATACCGTCTTTCGTGGGACTGCAATCGTGTCCAGCTTCCGTCGATATCACAAGGGGATTCGTCCACGCATTTACAACGGACGTCAGCACAATGGACGGCACTTCTGGAAACACGAGCATCATCATCGCATTTTGTTGGAATGTGATGACCCTGCACGTGATCTTCGTCACTTCGCGTTGGATCTGTTCGTGTACATATCATCGCATGTTATATTGGTTGTTTTTCCAGGCGTCGACGGATCCATCGACGGCTACATCATATGACGTCCCATACGTGAATCTCTGTCAGGCATGGTTACCGTGGATTCGCATCCGAATGGTCGTGGAGGATCACAGAGAGCTCGAACAGTACTGGTGCCAGTATTATCTCACACACTTCGTCGCTTTAGTCAGCGGTATCCTGATCGTGGGCATGGCTCAAATTCTTCGGCTGTTCTTCATGTATGATTTCACCTCAATCGCGTCGCCTGAAGTTCACGCGCCGATTTATCCTCTCATCGTGTCCACCGTTCTGACCATTCCGATCATCATCCTCACTTCCACCGCAGCCAAGGTACAAATGATTCAGGAACGGGACGTGGTGAACGTGCAAGAGGCGCGATGGAAGCTCTTCCTTGACAACTCCACCATCCTCAACGCGGGCATGGAAAAGGACAAGGCCGACATCGTCAACAGAAACAAACGCTCCATCGAGGGTCTTCAAGAGCTCGAACGCATCCTCGAACGTCGCAACGCCGACGCATGGCCTAGTATATTCGGATTCAGGATCGGCGAAGGAGCGAAAACTGCGAGTTACGCCCTTGGATTCATCTCTGCCGCGCTCGCCGCGTGCGCCATCGCCATCGACGCCTTCCAGGGAGCTCGGAGCAACTCCAACAACGTGAACGTTCGCGACATGGTGCGCCTCGGCATCGCGCATCTCACCGCGATCATTCGCACCAACCACACGTCCTCATGAGCCCTCGGTCTCGGCTCGAACCTCCCATCGTTCACCTAGACTCGTTGTATCACTTCTTCACTCGAAAGCCTCGGGACAAAACCTCGTCACTTCCGCGCGCCTCGGCGCTTCCATCATGCTCGCGCGCGCCCCCGTTCGCGCCCCCGCGTCGTCGTCACCGTCGCACTCGACGCGTCGTCGTCACCGAGCGCGGCGAAGCGTCGCCGTCGTCGTCACCCGCGCGACGGAAGAGGATGCGAGCGAGTCGCGAGCGAACGACGCCTCGACGGAAGCGAGCGAGGAATCCAGCGCCGCGAGCGCGACGGGTGCGCCGGCGGGCGAAGACATCGGAGCGGCGATCCGCGCGGCGAGAGAGGCGAAGGCGGACGAGGGCGCGAACGTGTTCGCGGGGGCGGCGGAGGAGATCGGGCTGATCGAGTGGCCGACGGCTGGGGGAGCGCTGAGCACGACGGCGCTCGTCATGGGTGGCATCTTCGGCGCGGCCGGGGTGCTGCTGGCGGTGAACGGTGTGTTGAGTGAGTTGTCGCAAAAGATATTTCCGTGATGATTCGGCGGAGAAGTTGTAATAGGAAACGCGAGCTGCGACGTTCGTTTCGCTCGAGTCTTGAAGCGCAAAGGTGAAAAATTGTACCAATTTATGTTGTATAATTCGGCGCCGTCGCGGCTAAAGAATCACGGGAATGCGCATTTTTATTAGACGCTCACGAACTTGGAGCACGCGTTGTAAATCTTTTTGAAGAATTCAGCCTCTTGCGTCTTGCCGGCCTCGCGAGCGGTGTTTTCGTTTGTCTTCAGGAGCGCCATGAGGTTGACGTCGAGCTCGCCAGTTTCCACCATCTCGAGGATCATCGCCTTCTTGTCCTTGGCCTGAAGAAGTTTCATCATGCGCTCACGCGGCTGCAGCATCGCTCGCGTGGTTTGATCGACGAAACCAACGAAGCCGCTCGTCACGGTGTAGAGCGCCTCGCGTCTCTCCTTGTCGATCCCATCCGCCGTCTCGATGCTCTTCGTGAGAGATTGGAAAAAGCTATCGGTGAGCAACGGTCGGCATCGCACGATCTCGTACTCCATCTCATTCATCTCCGTCTCGAAAAAGTACTGCACCAAGCCCTCCGGATCATCCACCCCGGGTTGCTGTCGCGCGTCTCTCGCCGCTTGCAGCTCCTCCCGTCTCTTCTTGTGTTCCTTCTTCGCCTCCTCTTCCGCCTCCTTCTCCAGCTCCGCGTTCCTCGCCGCTAATCGTCGGTCGATCAGCATGCTCGAGCTCGTCTCGTCCACGTCCGGGAACAATCCCTCCGGATCGTGACAAATCTCCAGCGCGTTCGGGTCTCGCGTCTCAATCTTATCACCCTTGGACATCGCCGCGCCGCTCTTATCCAGCAAGACCCCCTTGTTCAGCGACTCCGCCCCGGCGCCTTCGAACCGGATCGTCTGTCCGAGCTTTTGTTGGAGAATCGCGAGCGATTGCGGGTCCACCTCGGCTCGGGCGACGACGGCGCGGCGCGCGTGCGTCGACCGCGCGGCGGCGGGTCGAGCGCTCTTCGAGACTGTTCCATCTCTGGACGCGCGGTTCGCCAACGCGCTCGCGCGCGCGTTGACGGCGGCGGCGTTGACGGCGCGCATGCCGCCTGGGTACGATGTCGCGCGCGACGACGCGGCGCAGAGGAGTGAGGACGCCGCGGCGAGGCGGCGAAACGACCCTCGAGGGAGCCTCCGAGGGGGTCTTGACGAGTCGTGAGTCGTGGTAGTAGGGGGTCCGGGTGTTCGACGCGGACGCGGGCGAGCGAGGCGAGACGACGCGCGCCGACCGACGACGGGCGCGAAGTGAAGCGCGCAATACGTCATTATTATACACCGTACACTCTTCGCGCGATCGACGCGGGTTCGGCGGGCGCGTTCGAGCGTTCGAGCGCGCCCGGCGAACGCGGCGATATCCGACGCGGCGGACGCGGCGGACGCGGCGTCGTCGACGATCGTCACCACCCGCGCGCGCGCGCGCTCATCGCCAGTCCGCCGATCGAAATAATAAAAACTTATTCCCCTTGCACCTAGGACACGCGACGCGACCCGGCGACGCGCTTTTCCCGCCCTTCGCGCCGGACGCGTTACACTTGCCGCAGCGCTCCTCCCCCGTCTTCTTCGCCCCGAACCCGAAAACGCCTCCGGACATCACCGGGACGTACCCTTTCCGATCGCACCGCTGCGCGTTCCCGTCGATGGTCCACCCGATCGCGCTCACGTCGTTACACTCGGGACACAACGTTCGTCCTTCTCCCAGGCACAGGTCGCATCGTCGCTTCGTCACGCCGCCCTGGACCCCGGCGCTCGCGTCACCCCCCGCCTTTGCGCGCACGGCGACGGCGCGATGGCGGCACCGCACCGCGGGCGCGACGACGACGCGGTGAAGCGTCGCCATCGGCGCGGAGTGGCGTCATTCGGTGACGCGGTGCTCGGTTTGCGCGCACATCAGCGCGGCGCGCTCGTCGACGCGCACGCGTCGCGTCACGCGTCGCGATGTGCACGGTGGATAAGGTACGTCTGTGACCCACCGTGCGCGAGGTCGAGCGACGGGCGAAGAGGAGAGAGATCGACGGAAAGGCGGGTCGTTCAATGAGATTTGAAACTCATCTGTCGCGGACGTTTCCGCTCGCGACGGACGACGGAGGCGCGCGACTGACGAGCGAGCGAGGCGCATCGATACGTAGTTATTGATCAAGGGCATCCGGTCGTTCTCGCCCGATAATGAACACGTGATACAGTTCCCGAAGCCGCTGACGCTCATAGTCGGTCGGAACGGCGCCGGGAAGACGACTGTCATCGAGTGCCTGAAGATGGGGTCCACGGGCGAGCTGCCACCGAGCGCGCGGAGCGGACAGGCGTTCATTCACGACCCAAAGGTGGCGGACGTGACAGAGGTGAAGGCGCAGATAAAGCTACGTTTTCGGAACGTCACGGGGAAACCGTTCGTGGTGATTCGGTCATTTCAGTTGACGCAAAAGGCGAGAGGAAAGCTGGAGAAGAAAGATTTGGACAGCGTCATACAGAGTGTCGATGCGAACGGGAAGATGGTGAGCATATCGAAGAAGTGTGTTGACATCAACGCCGAGGTCCCGGCGCTTATGGGGGTGTCGAAGGCGATATTGGAGAACGTCGTCTTCGTGCACCAGGAAGAGTCCAACTGGCCGCTGGGCGACAGCGCAGGATTGAAGAAGAAGTTTGATGAGATTTTTAGCGCCACCAAGTACACGAAAGCTTTAGAACACATTCGAAAATTGAAAACGGAGCAGGCTGGGCTCATCAGAGATTACAAGGGCAAGGTTGAGTCTCTCAAGATTCAAAAGGATCACGCAACGAAACTGCGCGATACGTTCGAGACGAACAGAGACAAGTCGAGCGATTTGACAAAGCACGTCGCGATGCTCGAAGTGAAGATCAATGCCGCGCAAGAAGAAATTGCTCAAATTGAAGCCGTCTTTGCAGCTGTGCGTGAGATTCATGACAAGCGCAACGCGTTGGTCGCTCGTCGAGAGGCTGTGACGTTGGAGAATGCGCGGAAACTCGCGAGCATGAACACAGAGCTGACTGAATCATTGGAGGAACTCGAGGCCATGGGCGATACCTTCAATCAAAAGTTTGCGGCGCTCAAACAAGAGCGCGACGTGCTCGATCGCAAAGTCAACGACGCTCGCTTAGAGATGGAGGCTCTCAAGGATCATCGCGAGCGCATGATCAAGACGGCGGGCCGACTCAGCGCAGAGGTGGAGGCGCAAACGAAACGCGTGAGCGAACGATTGACTTTCGCTCAATCAACGGCAAAAAGACATCCTGAGCTTGGTTTCGCCGCCACTTCGGAGGTCGATCCCGTCGTCTTGTCCGATGCACTCAGCTCTCGTTTGTCAATGCGTCAACAAGCGATTGATAAAATGCGCGCGAAGCACCGATCGATGGACGCCGAGTGTGGAGCGAAGATCGACGACATTACCGAGCGTTTGAGCTCTCACACGCAAAGAATTGCGATCATTGGCGAGCAGCAAGACACGAGGAGGCGCCGACTGGAGGAGATCAACAAAGATCTCGGCGAGAACGCGGTGAACGAGTCTGCGATTGAGGAGCTCGAAAACCGTGTGAACCGAGCGAATGAGGCGTACGCTTCGAAGAGTAAATCGGACTTCGCTTCGCAAATGAAAGTAGACATGGAAAAAGTCGAAATAAACCTTAGCGATATCGAGCGTGAGATAAACAAATTGCGAGCCGAGCAGGAGAACGCCGTGCAAGCGGGAGAATCGGAAATGAAGATTCGAATGAAAAAGGAGGAATTGTTTGCGAAGAAAAACTCTTTGGAGAACATCGTCGAGCATCGTTCTGAGCAGCTGCGAGACGTGTTTGGTGCCGCCATGCCGATGAATATCGAGATGAAGGACGCGCTTGTAGAAAAGCTGGACGAATTGAACGAATTGGTGGCCAAGGCGCAAGAACAGTTGAACGCAAGCTCCTCGCGTGTTGCAGTGCTTGAACACGAAATTGCCGTGGCGAAAACTGAGCTCGAGAGCAACAGAAGATCTTTGAATGACGTCATTGCGCTCGAGACGATTGATGCAAACGCTCAAGTGTTGGGCGCTGGTGGTTTTGCGGGATATGCCAACGCTCTCGAGGCCGTGAACCGAGAAGTTGGTGATGTCGAGGCGCAACTGACACAGCTCACATCTTTGCAAAATCTGTTCTCAAAATTCGTTGCCGAAGCCGAAAAGAATCAATCATGTTCACTTTGTAAACGTGGGTTCCCTTCTGCAGAATCCACTGATTCATTCATCCAAGACATGCAGCAGAATATGGCAAAGGTTCCGGCTCAAATTGCCGTAATCGAGGAGCGCGTCGAGAAGACGAGAGAGCGTCGTAAGCTCCTCCTGGATTTGAGCGAGGCAGCTTCGCAGTTCAAGACGCTCTCTGAGAAAGTCCCAGATTCCGAGCGTTTGTTCGCGGAGCTCGAGGTATCTTTTGCGACTGCGCGGGAAACGGAAAAGTTATGTGAAAAGGAAATCGCCGAGAAGCGGCAATCTGCCTCCGTAGTCGGATCAATCATGGAGGACGCCGGTAACATCTCGCGGCTGGCGAAAGAGGTTCAGGCGCTACAGGATGCGGTCGAAGCACTTCAGTTGAATGTTGTGAACGTGACCGGTGAGACGCGTTCTACGTTGGACATCTCGAATGATCTCGAGATGCTTGATGTGAAACGAGAAGCCGCCGACAGAGAGAGAGGCATCTTACTGAAACGAAAGGAACGACATGAGATGGAGCTACTCAACCTCGAGCGTAACGCCCGTGACCTTCGAGAGGAGTTACTTTTGACTAAATCACGAGGTGAGAAGCGAACGCAACTCAAGGCAGAGATGGCGAAAATCTCAGAGGCCATTGCGATGGGCGCTTCAGAGAAACAGCGAATGGAGGAGGAACTGGCACCGGGCCTTGCGGAGAAAGAGAGGCTCGCTGTGGAGCGCGAACGGCAACGTGAAATGCATGGCCAGGAGCAAAGTGAGCTGGAAATCGACATTCGCGAGCTACAGCGTCTCGTTGACGTCACCGCCGGCATGAACAAGGCCATCGATCAGGCCGACGCTGCGGGAATCTCTGACCGTTTGGCTGAGCACACCAAATCACTAGAAGAAACGAACGGCAAGATTGAGGACCTCGGAACGAAATTGCAGGCGCGGGCGAAGCAATTGAAAGCCAAGGAAGAGGTAATAGCGCGTCAGAACGATCTCAAACGTGAGTTGGAGGATAACATTGCATTTCTGCGTGGGAAACGGGAGGAGGAGACCATCTTGAAGGATATTGAAGAACTCGTGGAACAAATGCATAACATGGGCCAAATGGCTGACGTTGAGAAGAAATTACGGCTCGCCCAGGGCAGCAAGAACGACTTGCGTACGGAGGCTGCAGAGGCGCAAGGGCGGGTGAAGGCTCACCAAGAGGCGATGAAATCGGCCAGTGATCAGCTCAACGGCGCAGCATACGTCAACATCGACAAACGTCTGTCCAAGCAGCTGGTCGAGTTGAAAACAGTAGAAATGGTTAGCGATGACTTGGACCGATACCACAAGGCTCTGGATAAAGCTCTGATGTCGTTTCACGCCAGTAAGATGGAGGAGATCAACAAGGTTGTTAGAGAACTTTGGCAGCGCACATATCGAGGACAGGATATCGATAGCATTCAAATTCGTAGTGACTCAGAGACGACGACTGGTAGGAGCTCGTATAACTACCGAGTTGTCATGCTGTGTGGAGGCGCAGAACTTGAGATGCGTGGCAGGTGCAGTGCAGGTCAAAAGGTGCTCGCGTGCCTCATCATTCGCCTTGCTCTGGCAGAGACGTTTTGCTTAAACTGCGGAATCTTGGCTCTTGACGAACCTACAACTAATCTCGATGCCCCGAACTCGGACGCACTGGCGAGATCGCTCATAGAGATCATGAAAAGTCGACGAGATCAAGAAAACTTTCAGCTGATCGTGATTACACACGACATGGAGTTTGCCCACGTGCTTGGACAACGAGAGCTAACGGACTATTACTGGAGAATCACTAAGGACGATAACCAGCACAGTCACATCGAAAAAGAGGACATCTACGACTAGACTATTCATACAAGTCGCTGCTAACACTATGACACGATTGTTCGCGCTCGATATGTACAATATGAAACAAGTTTTACTTTCAGCAACAACGAAACCGAACACGTCCCTTCCGGAGTATTTTCCCATCTCTACCGTAATTCAGACCCATGTTCACGTTAACCTCCATGGCGAGCAAAGTCTTTTCAAATTCAGAGAGTGAGTGATGAAGCATTTGATTGTACCAAGTCTCGTGCTCTTCGGGCCACGTCAAGTTTACCGCCCCAGACGGATTCTCCTCGAGCGTAACTTTCATCTGTTGTCGTTTATCATTCTCAACAGACTTCAGGTAGTCGAACTCCTCATCGGTGCCGAAGATGGTCTTAGGAATAGGATTGCCCAATCTCTTGGCCTCGGCCACCTTACGAGCCTCCTCGCGCATCACCTCGTCTCGAATGATCCTCGGAGGCTTCCCGACACGCCAGTAGCGCACCTCTTTTATAATATTTTCTCTCTTCTCGCAGTTCGACTGCACGCGTTTCCGGTACTTCAATATCTCTAAAACATCATCCACGGTGAACTTCACCACACTGTCGACGATCACCGTGAAAGGTTTGCTCATCAATGTTCGGTGAACGATTGGCGAGTATCCCGGGTGCTCCTTCGTAGGCGACGGAACCCCCGTCCTCGACAGATGCACGTCCTTCGCGCTCACCTTCGCGTACTCGAGCGCGTCGTCGACGATCTTTCGCAAGTCATCCACCGAAATGTTCGGCTGAGTCGTCCCCGGTATCTTCTTCCCTTGGTGCGTCTCGAGCTTATGCACAACACCCTTCACCGCAAACGCCATCACCTGCGAGACGGGCACAAGCGTCGCGAATCGCGGTCAGTCCGCCGCCTCATCGTCACGCACGTTTATCAGTATCGGTGTTATCGCATCCATCGCGTTCACGTCGCCGCTCGCGCCTCCGTTAGCGCTCGAACGCACCATGAGCTGCCCGAGCTTGGGCCAGAGCGGTTGCAAGCCTTCGTAGTAATTCGGCTCTCGCTTCTCCCGCTCGCCCATGGCGACGACGTCGGTCTCCCAGAACGGCGACGGGATGTCCTCGAACTCATCCCCGACGAATTTGTCCGCGCTCGAGCCGAACGGCCACATCGCGAGCGCGTTCGAGTGCGTTCAAAGGGATTCGCACCGCACTCTGACGCCGCAATCAACGCCGCCTCGCTCGACGCGCGCGATGTCCAACATCGCCAGCGTGCTCGGATCGAACACAGGGCGCGACAAACACGTCCCCGAGCCTCACCACGGGGCGCGAGACGCCCTGGCGCCACTGGGATTGGCGAAGATGCTACAGTTTTTTAGAAAGCAACCGAAACTCGCCGACGGCATCGACGCCGACACGGAGCTCTTCGGCACGAGCGCTGGGTACGACTTGCGCGTCGGTAGAGCGAACGAGCTGGAGCCGCTGTTACGAAGCGCGCTGCCGATCGAGCGCGGGAGTTTGGATGGGCCTGATCGGGCGACGCTCGCTCGCGCGCTCGCGGGCGTCGGTCGAGGAGGGACGACGCTGAGCGACGATGACAAAGGAAAGATAGCGCCAGCGATGGCGGCAGTGCGCGCGGCAAAGGCTCAAGCGGCCGGGACGGAGGTTGAGGGCGGCGGGAAGGGAGAGAAGCGGAAAAGGGAGAAGAAGGAGAAGAAGGAGAAGAAGGAAAAACGGCGACGACGCGAGTCGGAGGGCGGTGGGGCGAGCCAAGGTGGAAACACGGCGACGACGAGTCAGGGTGGAGTTAGTGCGATGTCCACGGGGAGCGACAAGACAGCGGCGACTGGGAAGACCGGTGAGGAGGCGTAGCGACTCTGGTTGAAATTTCTGCATCGTAGCATCGTACAATCCGTATCGTTATCATGTTCTTGCTGAAGATCTCGGTGAGGTCGTCGTGAAACGGACTCACTGAATGGAACACTTCTTTGTACACTTCTCTCCGGCCGCTTTGACGTCCTCCGAGTTTACGACGCCGTCGCCGTTGACGTCCGCGGCGTCCTTCGCCTTTTCTCGTCCGTGGTGCATCGCGCTGTCGACGCGACCGACCAAAGCCTCACCAGCGTGCTTCACCTTCGATCCAGCGTCCTCAACCGCGTGTTCAACCTTATGAACGACGTCTGCGACCACATCCGTGGCCTTACTCGTCGTCTTCTTGGTCTCATCGCTCGCCGCGTCAACGCTCTTGTTCTTGGCCATGTGTACTAGTGCTCGGCGCAACTGCAACGTGTCAAATCCTTCCCTCGTCTCGCTCGACGCGCGCGACTATTCTCGCGTAAAATCGAGAGATGATTCGTACGAAATTTATCCGTCTCGTTGTCCGATTCCCAGGGCGCGCCGTCTCGCGTCGCGCTCTCGCGACCGTCTCGCGATGGTCCAATCCCAATATCGACCTCGCCGAGCTAAACCTGAGCTTTACTCTGTGACGCGCGTGAGCTTCGCGTTGACGCCGCGAGCGACGATGCGCGCCTCAACTGCATCTGCGACAACCTCCGCGACGTCTGCGCTGCGTCAAACGAGCTCGGGATCGCACAGAACGCGCGAGCGACGCGTGAACGTGGCCCGGATGCGCGCGAAAGAGTTCACTCGCTTCGCGATCGATTTCACCGCGCACGAGCGCCGCGCACGCTCGAGGGGCATCGTGCGGTCGAGCGTTGACCCGACGGTGATGTCGCTCAAAGCCGACAGCCTGCGGGTGGCGTATCAGGGGGTGCCGGGGGCTTACTCGGAGGGTGCGGCGGTCGCCGCGTACGAGGGTTGCGTCACCGTGCCGAAAGAGCAGTTTGACGACGTGTACGCAGCGACGGAGGCGCAGGAGGTGGATCGGGCGGTGTTGCCGTTTGAAAACTCGCTCGGGGGTTCTATTCATAGGAATTATGATTTGATCCTGTCGCATCAGTTGCACGTTGTGGGAGAGGTATATTATCGCGTGAATCACTGCTTGCTCGGAATGCCGGGACAGAGGATCGAAGACTTGACTCGAGCGCAGTCGCATCCGCAGGCCTTGGCGCAGTGCGAGGGGTATCTTATGAAAAAGAAGATGGCCCGGGAGGCGGTGGACGATACGGCGGGCGCGGCGAAGGCGATTTCGGAGGGTGAATTGATGGGCGTGGCCGCCGTGGCGAGCAGACGTGCGGCGGACCTGTACGGTTTGGAGGTGTACGATGAGGCGATCCAGGACGATAAGTCTAACGTCACGCGCTTTCTCGCGCTATCCCGGGATCCGATCCCTCCCATGGAAACCGATGTGCCGTACAAGACATCCATCGCGGTGTCGCTCAAGGAGGAGCCGGGAGCGTTGTTCAAGGCGTTGGCATGCTTCTCGCTTCGAAACATCAACATGACGAAGATCGAGTCTCGACCCTTGCGCACGAACCCAGTGACGAGCGCAGGCGCTCGCTCGTCCATGCAGTTCACCTACTTATTCTATATCGATTTTGAAGCGAACATCGCGGACGAAAAGATGCAGAACGCCTTGCGCCACTTGGAGGAGACGGCGACGTTCCTTCGCGTTCTCGGGTCGTACCCGAGAGATTGCTCGCAGTTGTAATTGATGGCTATATGAGAGGGAATTCGTGCAAATTTTCTCGTTTCGGTTCTTTTGATGCTTATGCGTGCTTCAGTTACAATGAAGTTGAGCGATGTCTAAGTAAAAAAAATGCGTGACGTCTCACGAGAGGACCTTGTCCAGAGACGACAGAGGAATTCCGGAATCTTCAGCAGAGTCGCGAAGAGCGTTCGCGTGCACCGATCCTATGGCTCCTGTGCTCGAGAGCTCGTGCACGTTTCGTAACACCTCTTTCTTCATCTTATCGTCGAAAGAGTAGTTTTCAAACGTCGAGACACCCCACACCGAGTGGACAAGCGCCTGCGGATCAACTGTCTTTGCGCCGAGTTTGCTGTAAATACGATCGACCAAACGCGCGGTGTCTTTGGCGTCGGGTTCGACGCCCAGACGACCGCATGCCCACAGAACACCTGCAGCACCCGTGCGCCCGACTTGGCCTGCCCCCGCGCGGCGACCAGCCTCACGAAGAAGTTTGGCGAAATCACTCGAGGCGCCGTTGAAGGGCGTGCCCATGACGCCGTACGCCCACAAGACGTGCGTGAGAGCGGTACCGTCCAGTTTTCCTGGCTCAAGAGCGACCGTTTGCAAGATGTACTCCAGTACGCGTGGCGATGGCGGGCAGTCGAGCATGGCGAGAGACCAGCACAGGTTCGCAAGCTGATACGGCGTGTAGCTCTGCATCGTGTGCACCGCTTGGTCCAACATGGCTTGCACGACGGGCATCGGACGGTCAGACGGCGGGAGGTACCTTGACCAACGCGCGTACGCCCAGAGCATATTCACGACATCCGGCGCTCTAAAGTCGTCCACGACGATCAGCGCCTGATCGGCGATCGCCTTCAATAACTTGCTCCTCGGCTTGTGTCCGAGCGCGGCGAGCGCCCAGAGGGTGGTGCTCAAGTTCTTCGGCTCTGCCGAGGAAGCTTGCGTCGCGGCTCGAGCGGAAAGCGCGTCCAACAGCGTCTCTTGCACGGGATACTCCAGCCTCGCGAGCGCCCAGAGGACGTTAGAGACACCCTGCATGGACATCTCCCCAGCCATTCGATCCACCATGTTCATGAGCGTCTGGAATCGCTCGTCGCCGAGGAGCGCGGCGCGATCCAACGATGGCTTGGTTTGACCCGGAACCCTTTGCGTCGCCAGACGTGCAACGCGATGCAGCGCGGTAGACGCGTTGACTTTATTGAACACCTCTTCCTGTTCCTCTACCGTTGTCAAAATAACCTCCACGTCGCTCGCGTCCATCAAGTCGCCCTGCAAGTCCTTGGCTCGGTCCAGCAAGCGAATGCTCAGCGCCGCCTTCATCCTGTACTCGCTCGGCAGCGCCAATTTCTGGTACGCCCACCGGCGATGCTCTAATCCAACCTTATCGAGCTGCTGTACCCCACCCTCGACCATCTCCAGCAGTTCGGCGAACCTCGCGTCCGCGCACACCTGCTTCGCCTCGCTCCTCCGCAGCCGTCCCGCCCGGGACGTGAGCAACCTCGAGATCTTATACATCGCCGTCACGCTATTCACCGCGTTAAACCCATCCGCGCTCTCACCCACAATCTTCAACACCTCAAACGCCTGCTCACACGCCCCGATCGACTCCTGAATCTCCCTCGACCGCCGTCTCCGCTCGCGCTCGCCCCCCGCCCGCCGCCCGTCGTCTCGCCGCCCGCCATCCCCCCTCGGCGCATCCACGCCCGCGTCACCGTCCTCGAACGCGCGCGCTCCTCGTCCAACGCTCACCGCTCGCGGCGTCCGCGCCGCGCGTCGTCCACCCCGCGCCCGTCCCGCTCGCGTCGCCCCGAACCCGACGGCATCGACCGCGCGCGCGCGAATCCTCGGGTGCGTCGCGAATCCCTTCCCGACGCGTCGCACCGACGCGCCGGACGCCGCGACCGCGCCGGCGGTGCGCGCGCGCATGCCCCGGCGCCGCGCGCGCGTCCGTCGCGGTGTCGCGGGCGTCGACGCGCGTTCGCGCCGCGTCGACGCCGACGCCGGCGGCGGCGGCGGTGTGTCTAGGTTGGGTAAAATCTGAATCACCTTCTGCATCACCACCCGAAACAAGGTGATTTGAATCACCTTCACCACCCATGGAAGGTGATTTGACCTTGGAGGAAATTGTCCGATTGTCCGAATTTACATAAAAAAATTACATGATAGACTAAATAGCGGTATAATACTCAATTGGGTGCATCTCGCCGAGAACGCTTGCTCGCGCGCGTCACGCGGTCGTCCGAACGCTCGGTCTTACGCGCGTGCGCGCACTTCTCGTCGCCGCGACTCACGCATAGCTTGCAGCGATCGGCGCCTTCGCGAACGAGTTGAGTAGAGGTAGCATCGGTCGGGGCTGATGGACCGTTGACCGGGGCTGGTCGACCGTCGGCCTCTCCAAGAGACTTGATTTTGACGCGCGAACTTCTCAAGAGCAGGCAGCGGCTCGGGACTCCCGAGTCGGGAGTAATGGGAGTACCCCCTCATACTGTTTACTCATACATGACATGACGGATTATGACTCAACAAAAGGTGTGCACAACCAACACGGAGATTAGGCTGAAAAAGAGATGGATTTTGACTAAAATCTC